TTCTGTTTTTATCGATCTAGCAAAAGCATTTTTATTTGCAATTTGTTCGATCTACACGGGGGCAGCTGGGTTTTATTCGCGAAACATTTAGTTTTGCTGAGCCAGCATTGCGGTGTCTGAAGCAGGCCCAACCACCGCGATCGTGGTGCTTGACATTGGTGATGAGTCCTTGGTTCGACAGAGTGACAATGGTCGTCATTCTTATCAACTGTATAACATTAGGTTGGTAATTACGCTATAGCCAACTGTAATGGACCGAAGTTTGACACCGGATCTTTTTCAGGTATGTATCGACCGTGCGATGATGGCCCAAGTTGCACAACGTATCGCTGCAACATCCTCGCCTTGATCGATCATGCCATTTTCGCTTATTTTGCTCTTGAGATGGTAAGCTTACTGGTGTGCTACTACAGGAGTGGTCACGAAGTCGAAGATGCAGATCACCACAAAATACCATTAGTAAGAGCTTGGAACGTTGATTTCAATTCTGCTTGCCCTATCTGCATGCTTCTCTGGGAAAGAAGCCATGAGCAATCTTCAAAGCGAAAAATAAACTATGGCCGGAATAAAAAACGTTACCGTTACTGAATTAGGAGATGTCATACGAAACATTAAAGATACACGGATATATTACGCCAGGAGGCTGAATTGTATAAAGTATCCTGTCACTTGCCACTGCTTCGTTTGAAAAGGTCTAGAGAGGTCTCAGTTGATCTCACCCCGTCTATAAGTTCACTTGTAGACTCCAGAAATGCACATAACTTTTTTTAAAAAGCGCTTTGCAGATAGGGAATGCAAATTTGGAATCAGCGTTCCAAGCTCAAACTAACGGTCTGCAGTATGTGGTGATCGGACACTTCGAGCTCTTGACCCACCACTGTCAGCCTTCTTGCATTGATCGCTTTCACTCAGGTTATAAAAATCATCGCACTCGGTTTTACCGGGCCGGCCGCGTACCTGTCAGATACATGGAATCGGCTGGATTTCTTCATTGTCATGGCGGGGTAAGCCCAAGTGTTCCGAAGTCATATGCCATCACAGCTATCAGAACCTTGATAGCTTACACGGAATAAAATCATACGCGTTTGACGAATATAGACCGCTGTAGTCATGTTATATCTTCAGCGTAGCTCTGTTGGTTTTTTTT